ACGGCGCATTGGAATGGTTGTTGACCAGGTTTTCTTTAGTGGGATTGATGTCAGAAGAACTCTATAAACATTATTTAAATCATTGCTGACAAAAAAACATTGGCGAAAATATCAGCCGGGGGGGGGGGGGGGGCAAAGTGCCCCCCTGCTTCCCCCCCCCCCCCCCCCCACTGGGTATGAATCGTCAATGCACAAAAATCTCTTCAATGCCTTGATTAAATCAGATCACTCCGCCCCCCAAAAAAAGGAAAAATAAAATGCTTATACTTATTCCATCTGCAAATTCAAACCATCAACCAAGTCCCAAGGAGACCCAGAATATCCAAGTCCAGATAGGCTTAAGAATCTGTGTTGTCATTATCTTCTCAATGTGAATTGTGTTGGATTGAATTTCGAATAAAATGCGGCTTCTCTCGCCTCCCATGAATGTTTATACAGAGCCTCTTGAATTCGAATTTTTGACCAGGAACTATGAAGTATATGTTGACAAAGCTCGTCCGCAGGATGTAATTTCATACAGGCTGATAGTGAGACCCGGGAAAAAATAAGTTGGTACCTTAAAAAAAAATGTTAATGTCACATATGACCTTGCTAACTTTCGATGTCATTTCTTGAGGTTGTTTTTTCGACATCGGAAATGATCATGCAATCTGCGTTCACGTTTCAATAGGAAAGCCTTTCTACAGATATTATTGCCAGAATCAGACAAGCTCATTATTGTAAGATTAAGACCAATAAAGTTGATGATGTCTTATCTCAGAACAACTGATACATTGAACTGAATCCAAAGATTACAGTTTACGTCTGTAACAGATGTTGTGGTCAGAATCAGACAAGCTCATTATTGTAAGATTAAGACCAATTAAGTTTATTATGTCTTATCTCAGAACAACTGATACATTAAACTGAATCCAAAGATTACAGTTTACGTTTGTAACAGATGTTGTGGCCAGAATCAGACAAGCTCGTTATTGTAAGATTAAGACCAATTAAGTTTATTATGTCTTATCTCAGAACAACTGATACATTGAACTGAATCCAAAGATTACAGTTTACGTCTGTAACAGATGTTGTGGTCAGAATCAGACAAGCTCATTATTGTAAGATTAAGACCAATAAAGTTGATGATGTCTTATCTCAGAACAACTGATACATTGAACTGAATCCAAAGATTACAGTTTACGTCTGTAACAGATGTTGTGGCCAGAATCAGACAAGCTCATTATTGTAAGATTAAGACCAATTAAGTTTATTATGTCTATCTCAAACAACTGATACATTAAACGGAATTCTATAAGATTAAAATAAAGTTTACGTTTGTAACAGATGTTGTGGCCAGAATCGATAAGCTTAGTATTATAAGACAAAAACTTAACTCTGTCTTATCTTACAACAACAGACAAATTGCACTGAACTCAACTTTTTTATTTTCAGTTCCTTCGTTAGTTATTTCGCAAAAGAAAACAATTATATAAAAAAGGTCCAAAAGATGGTCCGGAATTTACCCAAATTATATCAGTGTTTATTGTATTGTATATGTGGCCACATTAGTAAAATGTTTCCGTAAACGCAAGCTCGTCTCAAATTTAGATTTACTGTGTTGGAATTATATCGCCCAACATTTACATTTATGTGTTTAATGACACCTTTTCGTGGTGTCTTGAGTAAGGCTGTCTGTCTTATGTTTCGCAGTTCGACAGAGCAAGCAGTAGAGGCAGTTTTTAGTTCGGTGTACTCGCTACCACGAGACCGGCGCTTTGTTGCGCTGCAGTCAGGGTTTAGGCTTGTGCCGGTACGAACAGACGTCTGCGGAACTGATGTAGATGATACATAACTGCGTTATGAGTTCATTAATTGCATCCCCTGATATTTAGTTCATACGAGAGTCATCAACGATTGTCAGTAGACAACTTGATCTAATATATTATGAATTATAGTATAGCGTTCTGCCGCCTTACAAAAAAGACCATATTGATATAATAAGAAAAGAAAAGGGCAAACAGATCCTTGGATCATGCGCTTAAGGCCCTGTCACACTTCTGCGTATCCTAATTCCTTATGAGTTGCGCATTGACATTTTTTTCATACGCAGTCGTACGCACAATACGCACCTCATATGCTTCTCTATCGTTTTGTGTAGGTTTCATGTACGCAGATATACGCATGGTACGGCCCAGTACGCAGGATAGTTTTGGGCATGCACAAAACTACGCTGCGTACGCTGTTACGCAGGTCATAATTTATAAATACGCAGCGCATCGGTCCCGCATCGGTCGATCGCGTTACGAGTACGCTATGTGTTCGTGACGCACCCTGTCAGCATATATGTGACGCCCGTATTGGACGTATACATAGCGTACTTGCAGCGCAGAAGCAACGCACGCTGGACGGCGAGCGGCGGAAATGCGGCGGGAATACGCTCCGAAGTGCGTCAAGCATGCGGTCGGCATAAGTCGGATGCGTCCGGAATACGCTCGGCATGCGCACTGCATATAGACCTATTCGCAGCCCGAAAAATAATGTTGTGCACTGCATACGCAATACATACGCATCTCATACGCAATGGATGCGCTGAATTCGTTACTTGTACGCTAGATGTGCGTCGCACATAAGTCAAAGTGATCAAAACATTTCGACGTTAATTGAGCGTACGGCTGCGTATTACAAAATTTGATAAGGAACTCATAAGGAATTAGGAAACGCAAAGGTGTGACAGCGGCTATACGAAACTACTGACCGGAAAAACTAACAATTTCAAATGTCCCGTGCTGCAAATTTGTCGACCATCTCTCCGAAATCCACTGGGAAAAAGAACTCTCCGTGGCAAACTCTTGGTGGCGCACTGCATTGTGAATAGCCCGAATTAACATGAGGCTAAGAACGTTTTTGAAACGACTGGCTTCGGCTTCGCCTTCGGCTTAGGGAGATTTTAGGCCCCGATTTCTGGAATTCCAGCAATACTTTGGTGCCTGTTATGCTTCATGAACATTCAATCGGTTGATGTGAAGCCAAAAGTTGGAATATTTTTGTTTAGTTTGCCTCTCAGTGATTCAGAAGTCGGAAGCAAAGCCGAAGCCGAAGACGAAGCAAAGATTTCGAAAAACCCCTAAAGAGAGAGTTGCATTCGCATGGTTTTCATAGTCGGTTGTCTTATTGTCCAAAAATGATCTTTGACTTATGCAATTTTGTGTATTCAAAGGAGCGTATACGGGGCATCGTTTTTGAGCCGGAATTAAAAAAGTACAACAATTATTGATTGCCCAGTTTCGCTGAGTTTCTTTTTTGGGACATCCATGTAGAAACGTTTGTAAAATAAGAATAGTCATATATTGAGACTTTTTGCAAAAGATGACCAATCAAAATTTAAAATTGTATATTAAAAGAGAACTTTGGACAAACGTTCTCTTTTGGGGGCAAAATATAAATTACAAACCCGCAGCATATTATCACTAACTAAACAGAGCGGGAACAGTACGGGCTATCGCTATACAGAGACGGCCGGGCGTGGCGGTAGGCGAATTATCTTTTCCCAAACTTTATTCATTATACATGGTTGTAATGCGCCATATGCGATGCTTTTATGATACGTACGCAGGTATATATATTTTTTCCCCAGGATTTGTCGAGCATGCAGTGCGATAGCTCAGTCGCGAGGAATCATCGCGGTGTGTGGTCATGTCACCGTTTTGTACCCGTCACGAATTGTTTTTCTTTTCTAATCTGAGGCTTTGGATGATTATTTTAGAGAGAGAATGGGAGTTCGAATCCACACATTATCTTCTTTTTTTTACTAATATGCAGCTTTGGAGGATTTTTTTTTAAAGGGAAATAAAGTCCAACTTTCATAAGGTTCGGTTTCATTTTTTTTCTTTTTTCTATGATATGTTTTTTTTTCGTGTAATAGGGAAGTAAAGTTCAAAACCTCAAAGCGTACACCCTATTTGCTTATGTCGGGGGGGGGGGGGCAGCGGGGCCGTAGCGGGGATGAAACACTATGGTGACAGGCCAAGCAGCTACTAGGCTCTGGACGGGGTTAGAACGGCTGGCATACGAGACGACCGCACTATCGATTCAAGATAAAGGAATATTACAGTCAGGAACACGCCCAATTGGGCTGCAAAATGCGTTTTAATCGAAACGACATTTTATAAACTGTGTCTTTCAATCTAATGCATTTTAAAGCAGAATGTATTTTGAAACATCAAACGAATATATTTACTACCCATATGCATTTTCCGAAACCGAATAAACATCTCTACCAATTTGTGTCAGATGATGTCCACCACACTTGACCATTGCAACTCTGGATAGCTTTCCCGCCTTGATCCAATGGTTATTTGGGTAATTTTGTTTAAACCGCAAACCGTAATGGCGACACCCGTTTATGTTCCATTGTTGTTATTCAAAAATGGAAATACAAACGCCAAGTCAAGAAATGGTAACACAAACGCCAAGTCACAATATTCTAATTACGGTGTGCGAGACAGCCCTGGAACTACTGAAAGTTATCTGTGTAACAGAAAGCACTATGTATCATTTCCCTCTATAAATTCTACCAGTCGAGTCATTATACCTGTGGGGTTGGACACAGGATTCCATGTTGGGTCTTTTACTCTTCTTTCTTTATATAAATGATAAATGTAATACCTCAGACAGTACAATGTTTCTCAGAAATAATCCTGCTCTTGCCAAGCATGGATAATTCCCTTTGATTGTTTTATAAAACACGCAAAACAACCCTGACCCAATTACATGGTTTCTGGTGTAACTAATCTGGAAATTCCCAGCTTACTTTACAATCGGAAAAACAAAACACTCTCAAAAATACATGGATCAATACTGAAAGTGCAGTTGGCAAAACGGTCACGCACGCATGGAGCAAAATAATGCAAGATAAAATGATTGATGGCAAAGATTGACAGGCGCACCTATTTTGAGCATTCCTGTAATTTCCCGTACTTTTCGGCCCCTGGATTTGTGCTCTCTATATGACTATAAAAGAGTGGACCGGTTTAGGATGACTAGATGTTTCCATCTAGACATCATTCGTGGCGGTTTTGCAAACAACTCAGTCCGTTATTAGAAGGACGTGGACAAGCAGTCAAGGACAAGAGCCTTCTTTGAGAGGAGTCGAACAACATCTCGATCGCCTGTGTTAATGTAGGTTTCGCCTGATGATGTCAAATTCATACAAACTTATTAGTATTTCCATTAAGAAACAAACAAACGACCGACACCTATTCGCGTATTAACAGGTGTCGGGAGGTTAATTGGGAAAAAATGCCAGTATAGCGTTCTTCAGAATGTGTTTTGAAATAGGAATCTGTATTTGAGATTGTTTTGAGCCAAACACAAGATAATGTTTTGTTGTCTGATGGGGTTTCGAAACGACATTTCTCACAAAACGGATTCGAGATCATATGTTTATTGTAGTCAGTATGTGAGAAGTAAATTCATTGTATTTTTTTCTACTTTAGGCTTTTCAACAACAAATCTTCTTGCAGTGTTTTCAAGATTTAATCTTAAAAAGGTAAGTGACAGCAAAACCAAGTGATTACGCATGAGTTCGTTGAATACATGTATAACATTTGTACATTTTATCCACAAACCATCAGTTGTTCCCTTTTTAGCAAATGTTTTAAATTTTTCCAAGAAGTTAATAAATTTGTTGTGAAATGCATCAAACGTTCGGTGTTTATCGCTTCAATATAAAGCCCCCCCCCCCTCCTAAACAAAGACCAGACCGGTGGATTTTATATTCGCTCAGACTGAAATACTGTTTAACACCGAGGTTAACGTTTTAGAAAGTGAAATAACTATTAAATGTCCGATGATTATGTTACAGCACTGACGCATTTTCTTTTCATCCACGTGATTTCAACTTTTAGTGTAAACTTGTACCGTTTAAATATACATCAAAATCCAACTGCCAACTGCCACCTGCAAACCGTCGGTTGATTTTTATACCTTTTTTAATCTTTCTTTCTTTTTTTTAAGCTAGCGTGCATGTTAACAGGTTTCAGTGATAATCGTTTCCTTTTAATTTTCGGGATTTAATTTTTTAACCACTGGACCTCACAAATTGTTTGATCGTTTCACTCTTCATGGTCATTACTGCTTTGACTTTTGAACGGCACCCACGAGAAACTTTGATTACGGAACCGGTAGAGAACTTTTCAACCCGACTTCACAATGACAAAAGGTTTCATTGATTCTTGCCTGATCGACTCACATTATTATAGTAGATGACCGCGAAATGAGCCGAGTTTGCTTTTTGAAAGGTTCTAAACCGTTGCCATCTGCAACATCAAACTTAAATCCCAAATTTTGAGTTTGAAGTGAGCATTGCCTTCACGACAAAAGCAACACGATATACGTAAATATTAGACAATTTCTACCCATAAAAATGTCTGGCCCTATACAGGTCAACACGGGAACCCAATTGCGCATTCACGTCAGTAATGCCATGGCAACATAATGTCACATGACATGTTTTTACCAATACAAAATGATCTCAGGCACACCAAGTTGACTGTATCTGCAACAGTGCGATGTGCAAACACTGGATCAACTTGAAAAACATGAATTATGCATAAAGCAATCATTACCATAACAACATAAAGTCACATTGCATGTTTTAGCCAATGGAAAATGATTTCAACTACACCCTGTTTGATATATATCTGCGACAGTGCGACTTACAAGCACTGGATCAACTTGAAAAGCCGGAACTATGATATAACCGCAATCATTACCATAACAACATAAAGTCACATAATAACCAATAGTAACTTATTTCAACCACACCCTGTTAGATGTATCTGCGATGTACAAACAGTGGACCAACTTGAAAAGCAGGAATTATGCATAGACGCAATCATTACCATACAAACTTAGAGACATACCACAACAACTCAAAGAATATTTGTTTTCAATTGTGAACGATTCCAAATGAAGCCATTCGGTGGATGTCTCATTGGCAACTTTGACAAGCACTATTGTTGGCCAATAGCAATGATCTTTTTTCCTATGCGCTTTACGTTTTACTTAATTTATACTGTATTTTACTTCGCAATTAAAACACTAATATTCGTTTCGAATGTTGTTCTTATATGAGAACCTGTACTGTATCTTATTCATTTTTTTAAAGATGGTAATTAATGATATATTTAAATTAGAAGAAAATTAGGTGTGTTCACCTCACATAAATATTTCAATAAAGGTTTAAAGTGGCGGCGATTTATTTGAATATGATCTTGCGTTGGCCGAAACTTTTAAAAGATTTCCCTCAAGTTTTGTCTCATCCGGTCCAGCAATAGTACAAGAAGGTGACTATTTACCGCTCCTTTTCACAAAGGATGATTTACTGTTTTCCTGCCCGGGAAATGGTTTGAAAGAGCGTATTTGCATGCGCAGCTCGTTTACATTCTTATCACAATTAAGAAAACAACTACCAAGTGGTACAACCCACGGTGGCCGGGTAACGTGTGAAGACGGCATACGGCACCGTCCGTGCAACCTGGCAGTATCGGTACCTCGAGAGTACAGAAAACGAAAACGAATGGGGCGTGATCTAATATGGAAAAATATGCAAATTAGATGCATGCGCATCAGTGTTTGCAAAACCGGTCATACGTGTCATACGGGGTTGGCTGCTATCTGATGAAGCAGTCACGCTTCTCCAAAACTGGATATCCGCGAGTAAATTGGCTTGTGTCTCTTTGACATCGTGTTTTTCAGCGTTCTTTTTCATGTTGAGTTCGAGAATTTCGTGGTCAGTGTCGTCCGTTATGATGTGTGTCTGAGGGATGCATGTGCGAAAGGGGCGTCCGAACAGGAACCTGGCGGGTGAAGAGCCTGTAGTTGAGTGTGGTGTGGCGCGGTAATTGCGTAGAAATTTGTGGAGTTTCTGTTTCCACGCTTTCTGCTCAACATGTGCGATGCGGTATATATTTTTCAATGTTCGCATGAATCGCTCTACCCAGCTCAGCGTTCGCTCGAGGCCACAAGGGTGTAATGCGGCGATGCTTGAACCCGAGATATGCTGCAAATTTAATGAAGTCCGACTGGACAATTTGCGGAACGCCAAATTGTGAGAATATGGCAACCAGTTGGGAATGACAGCCTTGACGAAAGTCGAAGTTCCAATTCCGACCACAAGATAGCGGCTGTAAACATCTCTTACAACAAGAAGGTATTCACCTGAAGGTAAGTCAGCAAAATCCCCACTGACTTCAAGCCATGGTCCTGCTGGAACCGGCTGGCAAGGTAGACATTTGCAGTGGCTCACGTATGTGCTGGACGATGTTGCTTGGCATGGAATGCACTGGCTGATTTTGCGTTCAATCAGCTTTTCAATGCCAGGGAACCATACCGATTTCCTGAGCAATTGTTTAGTTTTTTTTTTTCAAATGCCCTGATGTCCTTCATGGGCGAGTTCGATGACATGGTTTTAGGCTGAAGTGGAGATGACGATGCAGTTTCACCGTAGGATCAGGTAATTTCTCGGGATAACTGTCAGTTCGTCGCGTATTGTGTACATGCTTTGCAGCGTGCCTTTGGCGTCAGGATCCACGACCTGCTTCATGAGTGTTTTCCAGTTCCTTTTCAGGGCTTCGATTCAGAGTTGTAGTGCGTGATCAGTCTCAGTTGCATTTTATATTTCACTCAGTATGAGAGTCTTTGGGAGTCTCTGGTCACGAAGCTGACGTTGTTCTGCCATTTTTTTCTTCGTGGCTTGCTGGCTTGGTCGTTGGAAGCGGATGTCTGGAGAGGTAGTCAGCCGAGCTCAGTTAACCAGGCTGATATGCTACTTGGAATCTGTATTCTTGCAGTTTCAGGATCCAGCGTTCAATTCTCATGGGTGGTTGCTATTGGGGTAGTTGAAGAGTGTCACAAGCGGTTTGTAGCATGTGACAACCTCAAAGTTATAACAATAATAGGTAGAAATGATAGTGCAAAGTCCCCATGTGACTGAGAGTGCTTCGCGTTCAATCTGCGCATATCATTGCTCAACCGGTGTGAGTGAGCTGCTTGCCAGGCCGACGATGGACTGGTTTCCATCTTAGTAAGTCTGTGCGAGGATGGCCCCTCATGCCTTTGTTCAAGTTCTCCACGTTACGCAACCCTTAGCCTAATATTTAGCCCAATTTACGGACACCTAATTTTCCCTTTCTAATGATTGTTGGGCTAAATATGAAGACATTATCATTTTCACATGATTTCCCATTTATTTTTGTTTTAGGGTAACCTTGGCAGTAAGTATTTTTTTTAATTTAAAGCCCATCAATACCGACGTTAGGCAAAACTACTTGATGACATCTGAGCAAAAGGGTAAAAGGCGCAATTTTAGGGCATAATTGTAGCCATTTTGGATTTTTATTATGTCCTCATAATCATCCGATCTCTGATATGCTTAAGAAAATGTTATTTAAGTAAGGATATGTAAGTAGAATCCCCACAATATATTTTTCAAGGAATTAAAAAAATTCAAATGTTCCAAAATTTGCGAACAAATATTTTACACGGCAGGAATTAACAATTTATGCAAATAAGGTAGCCTTAATTCCCAAAAGAATTTCAGGTGTCACCCCTTCTAAATATCTTTAGGGCTGTAAGAATCTATCTGAAATTGGTGCTTTGAACCAGTCGGTCACAATACCGAGTGCCATAATTATGCCACCTGACTAAGTATAGAATCGGAGGATGGAGACAGATTGTTTAGCCTGGAAGTGATATGTGGCTTCACAATTATTATATATTCAACGTGGGTGTTTGGATGCTACAATTATGTCACGTACTTAAGGTAGTTTGCGTCGTAAACATGCAGCGATGGCCGTGCATACCATCTGCATTAATGAGACAATCGATCAGGTAATTTTGAAGTATCTGAAACCAGGATCATTGACACTCTAAACATCTTCTGAATCCGCCTTGGCTCAACTCCCCAAAACCCCCAGTGTCGACCGTCCTTTCGCCTGCCAAGTTAGCACTGCGCGGTACCGGATCTATATATTTCAAGTTTGGCAAGTTTGTACATAGGTGTCATCTACTATCAACCTAACTCAAATATGAATGTGAGATTCTGGATCACATATGCAACGCTGTAGATCACATTCGTGCGTCAGACATATGTCAGCAATAATTGCCCTCTTCGGTGATTTTAATGGCTTGAAATGTGACCCAATCGAGGCTAACTTGAGTATGACACAATTGATTTCATTCCCTAATCGTGGTAATGCTACCCTGGACAATATTTTCACCAATTGTCCTGTCCTGTTCAAGGAACCTGAGAGACTCCCACCTCTGGGAGCTAGTGATCATTGCTGTGACCTCCTCTTGGCGGTCTGCGAACTCCATCAACAGAAAAAGGGCGCAACAAGTTTTCGACCCTACAGAGATTCTTCGGTGAGTTCGTTTGGTCAGTGGATAGTCGACTACGACACTGGAACAGCACACTCACTGACTCATGTACTGATTCAGTGGGAAACTCCTTGACTACAGTTACAGATGCCTACAATTTCCATTTTCCACTGTTAACCTCTACACTGCAGAAAAATGACAAACCTTGGAGGACACATCGCTTGGAGCAGTTAGTTAAACAACGACAACACGTCTTTTGAAGTGGTAACATGGACAATTTGCGTTCACTTCGTAACAAGATACAGCGGAAAATTAGGACTGCCTAGTGTGTGAGATCTATAAGCACACAGTCCAACATACGAAGTGTAGCCAGCCTGGCGAATAGCACGGACAAATTCAAAGTGCCATGATCCCTTGTGCTGACGTCGTCCCAGAAACTATATCTGAAACCATCAATTGCCACTTCGCTGATACATGCAATCAGTTGCCTGCCCTTGATCTCCAAGCTTTACCGTTATATTTACCAGCCAGGTCACCACCCTCTCTTATATACAGGGGCCAAGTGCTTAAGACCCTCAAGGGTCTGAAGCCAACCGAAGACGGCCACCCATTTGCCAGTACGACTGATCAGTGATCGAGTTTGCTCATGAATTGGCTGACCCTCTCACCTGCTGGTACAACCGCGCCTTCCTACTCGAAGTAAAGTTTCCCTCCGTTTGGAAGACAGCAACTATTGTGCCCATTCCTAAGGAGAGGAATATATCAAGCCTCGACCAGCTTCGGCCAATATCCCTCACACCGATTTTCGCAAGAGTGTTTGAAACCTTTCTCGCAAAGTGGATCCTCGAAGACATTTCTTCAAAGCTGGATGTCAATCAAAGGCAGCTCCACTGTGCACTATCGCGTGGACATGCTTAACTTTGTGCATGAGGGACTTGATAGACCTGGTCATTTTGCTAGCCTTTGTGCAATGTGCCATAGATTTTACGAAGGCTTTGGATCGGGTAAACCATAACATTGTCATTCGAAAGCTCATTGAACTTGGAGTATAGACATTCTATCATTTCCACTGTCTGCAGCTTCCTCACCCAAAATACTAAACTCTGCGGCCTTTTGTCAACGACTCAGGGTATTTCCTGCGTAGTTCCTCAAGGCACCAAATTGGGTCCCATTCTGTTTCTGATTTTGGTTAATTGTGCATCAGCTGCAAACTGTAGACATTGGAAATATGTTGATGATTTAACTATATGTGAAGTAGTGAAGCATGGTCAACCATCTCACATGCAAAACTATCTTGATGACTTGTCAAGTTGGTGTTATGACAACAATGTACTTCCAATGCCATCTGAATGTCAGACCATGATATTAAGTTTTTTGAAGCGTGACACTCCTAGGTCCTTATTTAAACTTGATGCCGCAGCATTGAACCCTGTGACCTCTATGAAGTTACTTGGTGTTACTGTACAAAATGACTTGAAAGGACATGCATACCACATAATCTCTCAGGCATCCCGTAGGTTGTACACTTTGTGTATTCTTAAGAAGGCTAATATACCCACCTCTCACATGGTTGCTGTGTACACTGGCTACATAAGGTCCATTTAAGAGTATGCTAGTCAGGTTTGGCACAGTTCTATTAGTGTCCGCCAAAGTGATGCCATTGGAAATATACAGAGACGTGCAGTGCGTATAATTCTTGGCCATGGCTATGACTCTTACACCGCAGTACTCAGCGTGCTTGGGTTGCCTACCCTTAAATCTTGGAGGGAGGATCTGCTGCTTAAGTTTGGTAACAAACTTCTTAACCCTAAAGATTTAGAGGCATGCTGCCACCACTTAGGGAAAGTGTGTGTAGCAGAGAGCTTAGATCATCAACCATCACTGTTTATAGAAACAAGAAGTCCACCATTCCATCATTACTTAGCATTTTAAATTGTATCAACTAGAGATTTTATTTGGGTATGTAGTACATGTACACGTACACAGTACATGCAATTGAAAATATTTCCAGAGAATTATCTTGTGGTTTTGGCCCTGCGTGCGAATATGATGGGGAAGCTAAGATCACTGACGATTCTAAAGGTGTCGTACCGCATCCATCTCGTGGTACAACTGCTCCAGGAGATTGTCTGAGCGAATCAACTTCATTCAACATTTATTTTTCAGATAAACAGCAACAATGACATCGACTTGGATTCTTTCTGTGCTTGTGCTCAGCATTGTTTGCCGTAAGTGTGACAATCAAGAATTCATAAATATATTAAATATTTTTATTTTTATTGTCCGTTATTTTCCTCATCCTTGTTGGTCTTTTGTGTTGCAATTTGTATAGAAAGAATCCATTTTCCAAAAAGTGATAGGATTTAATTTGGTCTTTCTGTTTTTACCGACGCTATTCCATGGAGAATTCACTGGATGCTTAATGCGCTTAATCAATTCGATAAAACAACTTTTGATGAAGGGTGATAAGTTAATTTCCAGCTGTGAATAACATGCCTAAACTAATCAGGCACATCACTAGGACTATGCCAGTATACATGTATAAAGCAGTTGTAGTTACTTCTTAGTTGAGTACTTTTTTCCGAGTACCGAGTACTACCGAGTACTTAGATTGCCGAGTACGAGTACGAATAATTGTACTTCCGAGTACATGTAGAGGTCTCCGAGAACAAGTACTTGTGCTTCCGAGTACGAGTACGAGTACTTCCGAGTACGAGTACTTGTATACAGACGAGATATTTTGTGATTTTCGTCACGAACAAGTTACAACTTGGTCACAAAATTGCCACACATTATTCAGAGGCCGACAACTGTTGACAAGCGAACGTGGACGGCACAACGTGCAACGTGGCAGATTCGTGGTAACGTACGTGCACTACGCATAATCTGCTTCCCTGACGTGATAATCCTAGGCCTGTGTGTGTCTGTGGGCCTGACGCCGGAACCAGACTAGGGGCCCATACTGCAAATGGTTCATTGTGCATTGTGCGTAATTGGCCAAGGCCCAGTCAGACCGATATACAGACCAACTCATGGCTAGCTGTTGGTTGTGTTTGTCCGGACGTGCGTACAGGAAAGTCAGGAAACTTTGATTTCTCCGCAAGCCAATCAACCATTTCTAACTGAAAGTATTGATAAAATACGGCCGTAGTAGTAAAGCTATAACATTTTTTTTCCGAGTACTGCTATTTGAGTACGAGTACGTTGATGATCGAGTAAAATTTTGACATGTCGAGTACGAGTGCTTTGCTGCCCGACTACGAGTACCGTCATTTCGAGTACGAGTACTTTGACATTCGAGTACGAGTACGAGAACGAAAACTCCAAAAAAAGGACTCCAGTAGTATTCGAGTACGAGTACCGAGTACGAGTACTACAGCACTAGTATAAAGACTTCTGCGCCTGTCGTTATTAAATTCAGATGATAATTGACTTTGATCTTCATAAAGTTAAATATCGATTTACAGTACATTTTCTTTTTGAAAAATAAATCACAAGCATAGAGGTAAGTTTCCAACATGGCAGTGATTATTTTAGCCCGAGTATAAAATACATTGAGTTTATAAATTAATTCCGAGGAAATCCAAAGATTAAGGCAAGGACTTGAAAACCCAATTTACCTGTTGGCGTTCATGGGTGGCCCTAGTCACAGAGATAAAAGGCGAGTACCCAGGGCGGATCCAGGAATTTTCACAGTAGGGGCGCTGTCTAAATGTTGTGCACAGGCGGACATTATTACCAGTATAATATATTTTGGGTGTGAGAGCAGGGGGGCGTTTCGCATTATTTTTAAGGAATTTCTATGAAGAAAAAAAAATTGACAGAGCTGAGGGGTGGTGTTTTTTTACCCCCCCCCCCCCTCCCGGATCAGCGCCTGGTCCTATTGCCCAACAGTCTGATCCAGCCGAGTATACGAACTATCAACATGCCTGAACTGGGAACACACACACACTGCTTCACCAATCATGACTAATTTTTTAATTGTTTACATTAATTTACAGAATTATGTTCCTGTCACCCTATCAGCGAGGGACCTACCCCTGTTGGATTCGTATTTCCTTCAGGTAATTTAACAATCAATTAAACTGAAAGGAGACAATACCTTAGCCCTTTCAGGACCGGGGTGGGGGGGGCACAGTGTGCCCATGCGAAAGTCGTTGTAATTGCCGCGGAACGCCATGAAATTAAATATGCTCGACAGGCCAATATGGGTATCCAAACAAATCATCAGGCATTCATTACTGCCTGTCTCCCATTCACTGAGCCTGAACGGTTTCCAAGACTTGAAATCAAGTCGGTATTGGCCGGGTTGTGTTCGTTCGCCCGCCACGCGCCGCGATATGGACAGCTACCGCGCACGTACCGACGCTTGGTATTGCAATTATATTTTTTTTTGGGGGGGGGGGGGAATTGTGCATCCTCGACCCCAATAATGAGTGTACGTCGGTTCCCATTACATTTCCAACCTAGACGGGATACGCATGCGGTTTGAATCCCTATTTTGAATGATTATTTTTATCTGGCACACAATGGACAATATGCATTTGATTTTCACTTCATAAAAATGATGATTAAACAAGTAACGTTTAACTGTGCAAGTAGATATTGGGGGCGCCGACAGACAAACCTCAACTGTCTAGTGACTTGTCCTTAAGTCTTAAGGTTTCCCAAAACCTTACTTTGGCCCAATTTTAGGATTATCCATCACCAGCGACGCCAGTGCAGTCGAGTTACATTAAGTCCTGATTTAACCCGTTGAATTGCTGAATGATTGATTCCTTATTATTTCATTAGCACCATGCAGCCCCGAGGTCTTGGGGATGGAAGACGGACGTATCCATGATCGCAGCCTCACGGCATCATCCTACTATAGTGGCTATTCCCCAAGCACCGCTCGACTTAATGAAGGTAGGTCTCGTATCCTTTCTATAAACATCAATTCTCCATAAAAACAGGGTGAGTCACAAAGAAAGTGACCTGGATTAATCAGTTTTCCCCTTTAAAAGCAAGTACATTTTATACATCAATAGAGCGTATTATAAAACGAATGTCTTTCACTCATGAAAAAAAAGAATTACTGAAATTGATCCATACTGTCAGAACCTATGCATACTCGTTTTACTAAAAAGAACCCACTTTTTACAGCTGTCCATGAATGCTAAATGCATTCAAGCTATCAGATGATTGAGAACCCGAGATTACACATTCACAGGTATTCAAATACTAAATATATTTTTAAGACAATACTAAATATATTTTTAAGACTCGAGTCAAGACTCTCAAGAATGAGCCATTAGTTTATGTCAGACTTTGTGTTATGCATATGAGGAACAAGTCAAGTCTTTTCCTCCAAATGATGATGGTGATATTTGTCTGTTTTCTTGGGCAAGTCGAGTCTTATTAGATTTCCTCGAGTCGAGTCGAGTCATTCTGATGAGAAACTCGATTCGATTCGAGTCATTTGCTCGCAGTGACTCAAGTCGAGTCGAGTCATTGACCCATAGGGACTCGAGTCGAGTCGAGTCACCAAAAATTATGACGCGAGTCGGACTCAAGTCGAGTCATTGACTCGAGTCATTACAACTCTGTCAAACGGTATTGAATCAATGCGTATCGGTACATGAACAGTGGTACATAGCTGAATTTTGGGGTATTTAAATTAAAATACAGATAACTTGTGACATATAACATGTACTATTATACAAATAACGAATGTTTGTGAGTGCGATGGTAAGAATAATTTCATGAGGTGACAGATTGAAAGTTCTAGTGGAATAGAACATTCAATCTGTCACCGAATGAAATTATTCTTTCCATCGCACGAACGTAAAACATTCGTTATCTGTTTGATACAACACCTGAATAAATTCTCGTCATTTGATTGGTAAATTATAAACTACAATTTGCTTTGATTTTAAAGATGTTGAACTACCCCTTCACGAAAATTTTTGAACCCAACGCTGTAAGGCTGGCTCTTTGGAACAATACGCGCTACGCTGAACGCGCACACCAGCATGCATTTTGCACGCAAATACCGCGTCATGGAACAAGCGCAAAGTGAAACGGTATAACGCATGGGTATAACGCATGGTCGCACCGTGCATTATACCGAATAATAATATGTCACGTGATCTACAATTCACCAATCAGATGACAGGGATTTATTCAGGCGTTGTATAAAGGGCTATTACTATATACTTTTTATTAAATGGAACGATATTATCATATTTATGCTGTATGCAGTTATATATATGCTCGCAGGTTTAGCGCAGTTTCGTATACTATTATAACGCTGTAGGCAAAGAATGGAGACCACAGACTTCGGTCAGTAGCATAAACATGGAATTAATGGGCGAACGTTTTCTTTTAGTGGATTTGCTAACACAGATATTCTCTTTATAATTTCATTATTACGCTGAACTCAAGCATGAGGGCCAATTTACACTAGAAGCGCAGCGTTGCGTGGTAATAAACAATTGGATGGAAAAAAAACCTTGGAACTATGCAAATTCATGCTGATGATTAATGAAAGATAACGGTATGACCAAGCTCCATATATAAACCACCCAAACGGTGATTGGTCAGAATTCAGGTTTATTTTGGCAAATCTGCACCAGTTTCCACCAGCACAGCGGTTTATCGCTCGCGCTACCTCGCGGTATATACCGCGTAGTGAAATTGGCGATTGATTGTTTTATATCTAGATAAAAAAAAATTATGTTCGTCTGAATTACATTCAAATTTTCTGCAAAACCTTGCCAGTGACCGTATTTGTTCGACGAAATTCGACGTATCGTAGCTGAAATTTACTCCGACCATGGTTCCTCCTCGCCGCTTCCACAATGTATACGTCAAAAGAAGATTTTAGCCTCCTGATTGTAGGTGTTATTTTTGAATTTGCGCATTATTTTCACATAGGCACACTTTCCATTACGATAACAATGAAACCATTCTATCATGTCCAACAGGAATCTATGGATGGAGACCAACAACTTTAGCAGATCAGTGGATCCAGGTCGACCTGGGTAAACCCACGGTGGTTACCGGGCTCACCATGCAAGGATACGACCCAGGAACCAGTCTTTATGTCAGGATATTTTCAGTTCAGCACAGCCTCACAGCCGAGTCGGATGACTGGCAGAGTTTAGCCGATGCTGACGGTGGAGCAGTCAGAGTGAGTTACGGAGGGCGCTCTCCAAACATTCAGTCATCTCTATCAATCGCTTTCCACAGTATGTTGGCCTAAAAATGCTAGTTCCAAATTGAAACCAAGGTATTTCAGTTTGAAACTCTGTTGTAATTTTGGCAAATACAACATGTGGAGATTTGCATTGTATTGAAAAAAGCAATAATTATTATTTGTTTGGTTTATTTACTCCCATTTCTTTAAATCTTTAAAATTCTATAGTTCAAACCCTTGCATTAAAGTGCTACCTTACTTTTCCAAGGTAAACGATATAGGTTCTGAGATTGTTGTCTTTGTTCCTTTTTTAAAAATAATTACATGATATGTGTCAAAATCTTTTACATTTTTGGGGGGGACGGAGCTGGTGGGGGGGGGGGGGTTTGACCCCCAACCTCCTCCCTCTGGATCCGCGCCTGTCCTTATTGTCATCCTTTAATCTCCTCCATCACCATGCATGACAGGAATGATGAATGAAAAGATCGAAGCGCTAATACGAATGGGAAAAAGCAGAATATCCACCTGAGACGAATGTTCCGAAGTTAGGACTAATTGTACTAAACTTTGGGCTAATTAATCTGCGAAAAGGATATCCATTCGTTGAAATTTGAAGCCGAAATTAACTCAATCCAGTCTAACGATGTTGTGGATCGAAATGATGATATATGTTCCGATCTTTTTTTATCATAATTTTTTGTTAAATGTACATGGGACACCTGTATTAAATTATTATAACTTATTACTGTCTATGGTAATTGAAGCAATATATAGCAAACCAAAGGCAAACTATTTTCCATGATTCACCCATGCAGGCATGTAAGGGAAAAACATCCTATGCAACAAATATATTTTACCTAGAACTGTACCGGCATGTACCGAAATGTTCCAAATGAAAATTGCACAGTTTCCTCTAATCCTGCTTTTGCTTGGTTTTTTTTATTTTTAGTTCACCTTGAGCAGTGGTCTGCCGACGAATGTCACCTTTCCTGTGGTACCCTTCACAAGGTTTGTTCGCATACTACCACTGGCCTGGGAAGATTCCTATTACTACGTGAGGTTTGAGGTATTCGGATGCCAAGGTACTTAATGAAAGCTATTGATTCGTTAGAAAAATCACATTGAGCAAAGTCATTCATGTTGTTCAAAAATGATTTAAAGATCTTTAAGACATGACATTTGACAGCCCGACCTCTACATGAGATTTTTTTTTCAAATTAAAGCTTTATTAAATTATTCTATCTGCAGGATATTTCGATTTACATTCAAACTAATTCAGTAATGTTTTTTTAATCGACAACAAAATGTCCTGAAGTTCTATGAAAGTGTTTGATTTTTCCGTTACATTGTATACGTTGTTTTTTTTAGATCAACTAAAAGAAAACGAGTGAAGCTGATATCACAATTGATTGATAGTTTAACCTTTTTAACTTTTTAAACTTGCAGTCGTTCTTATAGTTTAATTCAAAATGGCAAATTATTTTACAGTCCCCGATGGTTATGTGAGGTTAGTGAATGGCACTGACGCTTGGAGTGGCCGAGTGGAAATCTACCGTCACGAAACAGGAACCTGGGGAGCGGTGTGTGGTAATGACTGGGGGTTTAACGACGCCAACACGGTGTGCCGTCAGCTGGACCTCGGTGCTGCAACCAAGGTCATGACAGCCTCAGAATTTGGGGGAGGCGACCTGCCGATCATGATGAACCAAGTCGCCTGTGAGGGGACGGAGAGCCGACTGGTCGACTGCCCGTTTGTCTGCGCCAACTACCAGCAGTGTGAAAGCTCAAACGTTGCCGGAGTAGTTTGCAACCTAAAAAGTAGGTGTCAGTTTTAGTCCGCCTGAATACATTGTTCCTTTTTCTTATCAAAATTAAATGTCTGGCTCATTAGCCTTTTTTTATTCCTCGGTGCATTTAATGTCAAAGTACTTTATGATTAGCCTATATTCACTCCTCCATTTTCACTGGATTCCGATAATTTCCTTCCCTGTACTATACTTGTGTTTCCTTGTTGGAATGTTCCCGTTTTTGAGTGGTCGGGCACAACCCGACCACTCTTTGGATTTGTTGCGATTAATCTTTGTTTCTTTCTTTTTTTTCCGGAGAATACTTCTCCACGGGTTATCTCCTAGACAGTTTATGATATGAATTTGTAACTTTCAATATATATCGACCATCATCCCAAGTGGTGCATATTAGTCTGCCGTCACGATGACGTCATCGGGTGTCAAATTACAAGCGATTTTTGGTCAAAATGTTACAATTTTCCGTCAATTATAACTCATGAACAAAATGAACGATCACGTTCATATTTTGTGTTCTGATGGACAATACCTTGACAGGCCTAAACATTTTTGAGTCGTTTGATTCTTCCTTCCGGGGCTAGCGGAAGGTCAAAGTTAGGTGAATTCAAAATGAAGAAGTTACCTTGAAATCAAAACAAAGCAATTTTTTACCGGAAGTGCACTAAAAACGTCATATAACCCCAAAGTGGGAGCTTTTTAATACACACATACAAAATGTATGAAAGTGTTAAGTGAGAAATGTAAGACGCAAAAACAGTGTGATGACGTTATCATCCAAAAGGGTGCCCCCTAGCGGCACATAAAATAGTGTTTGCTTTTTAGCTGTTTCGGTTACACACCGAAACAGCTCTTGTTTTCGTTAAGATTTTTTTTTTCTTTTTTCTTTTTAGCTGTTTCGGTGTACACACCGAAACAGCTCTTGTTTTCGTTAAGATTTTTTTTTTCTTTTTAGCTGTTTCGGTGACCCACCGAAACAGCTCTTGTTTTCGTTAAGATTTTTGGCTTTTTCGCAATTTTGCGAAAAAGCCTTTCTTTCTGTTCTCATTGGCCTTTTCGCCATCAGCGAAAAAGCCTTTGTTTCTGTTCTGATTTTTTTTTTTCTTACTTCTTCTTCTTGTTCTTCTATCCCAAATCCCATTGACTTTGCACATGTTTTATTCTGGACCCCACTTTTGACCCTGAACATACTTCAATCTTAATGAAACTTGGCACAGAGTCAAGACCCAAAGTGAACTCGTGCATGGAAAAGTGACGTCATCATGACGTCATCATGGGCCACGTGACGTCATCTGAAATGTGTAAACTTTAGGACCCGATATCTAAAGAACTATAAGTCGGATTGGGTTGAAACTCGGTATATTGGTAGACCGGGATATGTTATAGATAAAAATTGAGGTGACGTCATCATGACGTCATCGTGTGATTTTATATCGATTTTTGACGTTTTGGACCTTGAAGCCATATCTCACGAATGCAATATGCTAAATTCAAAATTCTTTTTGAATTAGGTTTGTTAAGCAATAGGTATATGCACAAAATTTTGAAAAATGTGTTACGTCATGATGACGTCATCAAAAATGCGATTTTGTAAAACACATATAAGGGAATGTCCGATCGTACTGAAACTTGGTGGGTGGGTAGATAATTGAACCAGTGCACAAAATATGAAATGACGTCACGATGACGTCATCGACAGATTTTTAACGATTTTTTAAATATTTACAATTTTATTCTGATTACGAAATTTAACACTTTTATTCATCCAAGTCGCTTCAAACTTGGTACAGGCTAAGTCCACAAAAGAATAATGAGCACCGCCAAGTATTGTTATAATGACGTCATCATGGGTCACGTGACGTCATCTTAAAAGTTCATCTTTCAAAGCCCAATATCTACAGCACGGTAAGTCTGATTGTATTGAAACTCGGTATGTAGGTAGACCAGGATGTGTTATAGGTACAAATTGAAATGACGTCATAATGACGTCATTATACGATTTTATATGATTTTATGAGTTGTTGGACCCTTTAAGCCATATCACACGAACGCAACATGCAAAATTCAAAATTCTTTTTGTATTTGGTTTGACAGGGAATAAGTATATACACAAAATTTTGAAAAGAATGTGACGTCATCATGACGTCATCAAAAATGCGATAGTTGAAAACACATATAAACATCATTGAACAATCACCATCAACTAATCAACAATAACAAATCAAAAATCAAAATCAACAGTCAAAATCAACAATCAACACCAAAATCATCGGCTATCAACAATCAACTATCAATAATCATCAACCGACATCAACATCAACAATCAACAATCAACAATCAAAATCAACAATTAACAATTAACATCAACAATCATCAACAATCAACATCAATAACCAACATCAAAAATCAACATCAAGAAACATCATCAACAATCGACATAAATAATCAACATCAACAATCAACGTCAACAATCATCAACAAAATCAACATCAAAGATCAATATCAAAAATTAACATCAGCATTCAACAACAACATCATCAACATCAACAATCAACATCAACAATCAGCATCAACTAATCATCAATCAACATCAACATTAACAATCAACAATCAAAATCAACAATTTACAATTAACATCAACAATCATCAACAATCAACATCAATAACCAACATAAACAATCATCATCAGAAACATCACCAACAATCGACTTCAATAATCAACATCAACAATCAACGTCAACAATCAACATCAACAATCAACAATCAACAGCAACAATCAACAATCAACATCAACAATCAACAACAACAATCAACAATGCGAAAAAGCCCTATGTTCTGTTGATTGAACAGACATAAACCTCTCATTTTTTTTTTTTGGCTTTTCCGCATTGTTGCGGAAAAGCCTTTCTTTTTGTTCTGATTTTTTTTCTTTCTTCTTCTTCTTCTTCTTCTTCTTTTTCCCAAAACCCCATAGACTTTGTACACGTTTATTCTACACGCCACTTTTGGCATTAATCTTTGTCATACATCATTCTAAGTTAGCATAAGCATAGCCCCTATAGCAAAGATGTGTCCCGAAGATTGACGTCATGGTGACGTCATCGACTAATTTATTATAGATTTTTGAATATTTAATTTTTCCCATAGACTTTGTACACAGAAATTAAAAAATAATTGTCGATTTTCAAAGGGCATTTTTGACTCTTTGCCAGTAATTCATTTACACCAATCTTTGTCCAAGCAAAGACCCTAATTCAAACAACATTGTGGAATGATGACGTCATGATGACGTCATCCTGTGTTTATTTATAGGCAATTAAATTGTGACACTTTTAATATTTAAAAATGCATAAGAAATCAACCGTACGCGTCCGCAGCATTCTGTTGCCGGCAAGTGGTAGAGCAGGTTAAGGTCTTCATTTTATTCAGTGTGCGTGCAATCACGTGACCCTTGCTTCCGGTCGAAAAAGGCCCAAACCGGAAGTGGCTTATTATTTGAAAATGGTAATAGAAATGAACTTGCTTTTAACGGTGTTAGTCTCTTGGCCGATAGAATTCTTCAAATCATCTACCGATGACGTCATGCAATCTTCGAGCGTCCTCTACCGACAGGTTGAAAATTAGCAAAAATGTATTTTCAATAGATGTCTGTGGCGAAGTTTGTCGGAATCGCCTAAATATTGGTGTATATAATGACCTTGACCCACTTAAGACGTTTGCGAAGTTTTAGGCAAATGACGTCATCAGACCGGAAGTTATAATAAAAAGAGTCTTTTTCATTTGAAAATTCCTGAAAAATCAACCATGGCAGTTTTTATATTTGTTTTTACTTTAATTGTCGATTGAAGGGTAGGTCTAAAACATTTGAAAGTTTCGAGGCGATAAGCGAACTCGAACATACCCTGCGCACGCTTAAAACTTCACGTTGACAATACCTCTGCTTCAAAACATGCACAGGACAGGACGTCCACAATGTACATGTACATGTACATGCACGTACGTTGTACATAGGCACATACATCGTATGTCAGTCAGCCTGCAGCGCACGTGTTGCTGAGGTCAAATCCTGTCCACAGTGACCGTTTTAGCCGATTTTCGGCTAACTTTGACAGATTTTATGTTCATGCATGCGCATAGACAGGGACGTATTATATCACTTTTGGCATTAATCTTTGTCAGACATCATTGAAAGTTGGCATAAGCATAGTTCCTGTAGCCAAGATGTGTCCCGAAGAGTGACGTCATGATGACGTCATCAAGTGATTTATTATGGATTTATGAATAATTAATTTTTCTCATAGACTTGTACCCAGCTTTCTCCACAAGTCTTTCCCTATACAACACTGATATATCTTACTGAGTAGTTCTGAACTTCGGCTGAGAATTACTATGAGAAGGAAAAAGAAATCGTATTTTTTTACGCCTGTCATTTGATTGAAAATATTCCCAAGAGTTAGAATAGCAAGTAATATTTTATAAAAATGTTTCAGTTTAAAGGAAAATCACTAATTTAAATGTGCAGTTTTTCTGCTGTGGGATTTTTAACCTATTGACTTTGTACACGTTTTCAAGCCACCATTTTCATAACTTGGCGATCTGGAATCGTCATCAAAAATACAGCCAAGAAAGACCCTCATACAAAAATTATGCCAAGACTATGACATCATGATGACGTCATCATCAAATGATTTATTATGGATTCATGAATAATTAATTTTGCTCATAGACTTTGTACACAGCTTTCTCCACAAGTCTTTTCCTATACAACACTGATATATCTTACTGAGTAGTTCTGAACTTCGGCTGAGAATTACTATGAGAAGGAAAAAGAAATCGTATTTTTTTAAGCCTGTCATTTGATTGAAAATATTCCCAAGAGTCAGAATATCAAGTAATATTTGATAAAATCTTTCAGTTTAAAGGCAAATCACGTATTTAAAGGTGCAGTTTTTCTGCTGTTGGATTTTCAAATTTGTACACGTTTTCAAGCCACCATTTTTATAACTTGGCTATCTG